GGGACTAGGCTCTAACCAACTGAGCTACCCTGCCAGGACCTCGCACATGCTGCTTCCAATGTCTACAGTCTCTTCCTTCCATCTCTCACTCCTCTTTGCAGGCTCAGCTCAAATGTCACCTTTTTTTATGTTTAGCCTTTCTGGATTATCTCTCCCCCAGTAGCCTCGACACTCACTCCTATGGACATCCATGATTCTCTATAGGGACTTCTCCTTTGCATGCTAAGGGCTTTATTATGTTTTCCACATGTGTTTCTCCTGCTATTTCAAAGGCAGGAACTAGGTCTTAACTCACGTCTCTATTCCAGCATGTGGGGAAAAGTTAAAAATCGTGCTTGTAACCATGGGGATTTGGGTTTATCTTAGTAGAACAGCCTTAACTATTAAGATATTTGCACCTCAGAAGAATCTCACTTTGTGAAACTCCTGGCAAATTTTGGAAAATCTTAATAGTAATTATTGGAAAGTTATTATTTACAGGAAAACTAATAGAATCACTGATGAAATCCATTAGTGTCTCTGTATCAGAAATTACTATTTGGCCCTAACCCGTTTGGCTCAGTGGATAGAGCATCAGCCTGCGGACTGAAGGGTCCCAGGTTCGATTCCGGTCAAGGGCATGTACCTTGGTTGCGGGCACATCCCCAGTAGAGGGTATGCAGGAGGCAGCTGATCGATGTTTCTAGCTCTCTATCCCTCTCCCTTCCTCTCTGTAAAAAATCAATAAATAAAATATTAAAAAAAAAAGAAATTACTATTTGAAGGGTTTTATTTGTTGCAGTAAGTGCACATATATGAAATCTTCCTTGTTGACAAGTTAGATTGACTGAAAATGCTCACATTTTCTTCATCATCATCTCTTCTCACTAATTCACATAATTATTAGTTTTTTGCCCCCACTAAACTTTGGCAAAAAATAATTCAGGAAACTTTCTGTTTTCCTTTGAGATGTTTCAATTGCCAGTCGTGACCACTTGTGATAAAATGGTCCGTTAGATAATTAATGTTCGGTAGACTGAATTGTAAGAAGTTGAGTGAGGTATACATTTACAATGTAGAATTATTTTTTCCTTTTAGTAATTATTTTGCTGTAGACACTGCCTCTGCCATAGCAATTGCTCTGATGACGTTTGGCACTATGTATCCCATGAGCGTGTACAGTGGGAAGGTGTTACTCCAGGTAAGGGTCTTCGTTCAGTGTGCATGCTTAATGTTAGCCAGGCTCTTCTACCAGATTGTGACAGTTTTGGCTTTTAGAAATGAAGCCAAACAAGAATCTCTGAAATTTGTACACTACAAATTAGCTGAAATTACATGGGCCCATAAAATAGGCACAAATATTCCTATCTTTGTAATATAAAACAAAATTATAAATTAAATTTTTTTTACCTCCGCTAATGTTTCCATTGAAAACAATGCTACTTTTTAAAAGTTTTTAGATATTTATTTTTCTCTAATTTGTATAAATTTATTGTATAATCTGGTTATGATTTTCTTTTTTCTCTGTGATTGAATCAGTGAGAATTTTAAATTTCAAACTTAAAATTTAAGGGACAAATTATTAGTTATTAAAACAGTGGGACAAGTCCAGGTACCTAGAGACAAGTACCTGAATGGAGAGGTAGTTTCCCAGGATGGGATGTGTATGGAAGCCTTACTTTTCCTTCTGTCTTTACCTCATGCCTTTTCTTAAACTTAGAGTATCTCCATCTGCAGGACCAGTAAATAACAATAAGATAGTAGTTGTTTAGTGCCATGCCCTATATAAAATGTTACTTTCTTAAACGTTTTTTGTTGAGTGCCTGGTTCTTTAAAGTTTATTTGTTCTAGAGATAGCAGCTTCTTTGTTAAGATAAGAAGTGAGCATGTGCTGGTTTTTTATGTTGCCCACTACTGGGCCAGTTGAAACCTCTCCTTCCTAAATCATGATAGGGTACATATCAAACAAAGCAGAGGTTAGTATAAGACCCAATATTAGTTTCTGGACCATTGTTTCAAAAATTTTTTTACCTCCTTTGATGTATGTTTTATATTTCTCACAGACAACACCACCCCATGTTATTGGCCAGTTGGACAAACTTCTCAGAGAGGTAAGATGGAATAATAAAATCATTTAAATTTATAATTAGAGAATGCAAAGAGTGGGTACAAATAATACTTTATTTAACCCAACCCTATCTAGAATTTTAGGGGCGTTTGTGTTCTTAACTCATTAGGAAACATAACATAGTGACAAAAGTAGAAAGATTGAGGATTGCTCAGTCTGGAAGCCAAATTCACTTGAAATAGATGTGGAAGGTAATGATTTATAGACCACTCTCCTACCTATATTAATGCTGTAACTTTTATGACTCTATAATAAAACTTAATGATTTGATTAAATCAACACTTTTTTTTAAAATATATTTTTAGTGATTTTTCACAGAGAGGAAGGGAGAGGGACAGAGAGTTAGAAACATCTATCAGCTGCCTCCTGCACGCCTCGCACTGGGGATGTGCCCGTAACCAAGGTACATGCCCTTGGCCGGAATCAAATCTGGGGCCCTTCAGTCCACAGGCCGACGCTCTATCCCAGTGATGGCGAACCTATGACACGCGTGTCAGAGGTGACACGCGAACTTATTTTTTTTGGTTGATTTTTCTTTGTTAAATGGCATTTAAATATATAAAATAAATATCAAAAATATAAGTCTTTGTTTTACTATGGTTGCAAATATCAAAAAATTTCTATATGTGACACGGCACCAGAGTTAAGTTAGGGTTTTTCAAAATGCTGACACGCCGAGCTCAGAAGGTTCGCCATTACTACTCTAGCCACTGAGCCAAACCGGTTAGGGCAAACACTCTTTTTTAAATCTGTTGATTGCTTCACCATCTAACATCTTGATTTGTGGGTTTAGATTTTTGTATTGTTACACATTTCCACCTGCCAACTAATGGAGGAGGAAGAAAATTGAATTATTTGGATGTGAAAAGTGTTTTAAACTATTGGTTGTCAGTATCACAAAGGCCACTGTTATCAAAAGAGCTGGTTACTTGTCTCGGCGAGCAGAGCCTGTGCCACTGCACAGGGGACCACACACTATGTATCTGGCCTTGGAATTTGCTTTTGACCCACATCCAAATAACAGTCTTTGTTTGGCAGAAGTTTGTTGAAAGGGAATTCAGAGAAAGAAATGATAGAGAAGAAGGAAAAGAAAAAAAACCTGATAGCACAAGTGCTGGTATCCCTATATGCCATATTGATAAAATGAAAAGAGCCACACACTGTTGAACAAGGTCGGGTGGAGCTGTAAAGACCTAATTCCAGAAAAATTGGTGCAGACAAGAAGCTGGGGAAATGGCCTTGGCTCTACTGCACAAGCAGAAAGGGTATCTTAGGTAGTGGTCTGGCTTCTCTCGGTTAATGAGTGTCCTCAGGCCGAGAATGACAGGGCTTGGCCATGTCATTCCTAGGCACAGAGTGTTGCCCTGTGTTGGATATGTCAAATGCAAACAGCCCCATTTCTGTATTTTTTTATCAGGTATCTACCTTGGATGGAGTTTTGGAAGTACGAAATGAGCATTTTTGGACCCTAGGTTTTGGCTCTTTGGTATGTTTTGTACATATTACTTTAGTTATCATTTAAAGCATACTTTATAATTTTCAAAACTGAAAAAAAATATTTCTTTAAAGTTTTCATAGAGCCTTTGATTTCTGTTTTTTGTTCAGTAGAGTCTAAATTGTAGGTGGATTCAGAAACCTAATTGAGATGAATGGGGGATGTTATTCTTTTTTCTTTTAAACCAAATCATCTTAATATTGAACTGTCCAGAGAAGACAAATTCAGTCACACATTCCTAAATATGAAAATGTTGCAAAATAAGAGGTGCAATTATTATTATTTTTTAATATATTTTTATTGATTTCAGAGAGGAAGGGAGAGGGAGAGAGAGAGAGAAACATCAGTGATGAGAGAGAATCATTGATCTGCTGCCTCCTGCACACCCCCTACTGGGGAGTGAGCCCGCAACCCAGGCATATGCCTTTAACAGGAATCGAACCCAGGACTCTTCAGTCTGCAAGCCGACGCTCTAGCAACTGAGCAAAACCAGCTTGGGCAAGGTGCAATTATTTTTAATTGCAGTTCTAATTTTGGAGATTTTACTGAATATGTTAAAGAGTTACAATAATACATCTTCTGCAGCATAAAATTTCGTGTTCTCTCATCCATTATTGGACCTCATTACCAGAGAGACTTTATTTTTGTATCAGGAATGATAAGGAAAATAAAGAAAAGTACCCAGAAAAAATTAAATCACCATTATCCTCTCATGTAGAGAAAATTGCTATTGATATTTTTGTATTTATACTTACACATTTATTCTCCTTAGAAAATGAGATCATGCTATTTTATGATTTGCTCTTTTCAGATACCACAAACAGGTTTTCATATCACTAAAAAAAGCAAACCATAGGATTTGGTTTTTCTAACATAACACAGATTCCAGAGGTGGGCTGACTAAGGCTACCCAACAGCTCAGCGATGTCATCCAAACTGCAGTCTTTAGTTTCAGGTTCAAGCTCCTTTAGTGGAAAAATGGCTGCCTTGTCTCTACCTCCCCCTACTCTTCCTCTCTAGTCATTTGGTATCTCAAACTCATCCACTAGTAAATTCTTCAGGAAAGGTCCTGGGGAACAATATTCCCTAAATCCCTGAATATTTAAAAAGTTGTGGGCATTATACTTGAAAATAATTTTGGCTAGATATATAATCCTGAGCATATATTTTGTTTCCTCGTGTTTCTTAAATATACCACTCCATTTACCTCTGGCATAAAGTATTGCTGTAATAAATAACTCATAGTCTGGTTTTGGGTGTTTTTTCCTTTATATCTGACTTCATCATTTTGCCTGGATGCCCCCAAATTTTTTTTTAATCTAGTAATTTTTCTAGAGTGTCTTGGTGGTGGTCATTCTGGGTCAATTATTTCAAGTATGTAGTATACCCTTTCAATAATGTTATTTCAAAACCATCATTTTAAAACTTTCAGGAAAGTTTTCTTTAGTTATAATTGTTAATATTTATTCTGGTCTTTTGCTTTGATTTTCTTCTTTGGGAATTTCTGTTACACTCATTTGGATTTTTGCTTTTTTTGGTATTTGTTTTATCTGCATTTCCTTTTAATATTTAAAATTTCCCCCTTTTTACCTTTTATTTCTCTTACAATATACTTGTATGTTTATTTGCTTTTGTACTCCTTGTTTCGTCTTCATTTCTGAAGTGAATTTTTTTTTATTTCTAACTCTCATTTCTGAGGTTTTCTAATTTTAATTTATAGTGTTCTTGTTTCATGTTTTTTGGCTTGTTTTGATAAAGTGTGGTGTAGTTCTGTTTTGTAGGTAAATCTTTCTGGTGATCTTTTAATCTGTTCTGTATTTTCTTTTTTTCTTATAGTAACTTTGTGTGGGATTAGGATTCAGTTCTTTTCTATGGCTCCTATTTTATGAAATTAGGTTTCCTGAACTTAAAAAATAAGGGGTGGTTTAAGGTAGTATGTCTAAATCCATGGCTCTTGAGTTCCCTCTTCTGCTGAGTCTGTGAAGTGAACGTTTTTTCTTTCCCCTGGCTCTGTTTCCCTTCCATTTGTGCCTGAACCTCTACTCTGCTGCTCAATTGGGATTCTGTTCCCAGTTGTTTCTTCTAAATGTGGGGCTTTGCTTGGTTTCTTTTGAGAGTTCTAGGGTTCAGACTACTCCATTTCTTCATATCTTATTGCAGACCCAGCTGCCTTTCTCAAGTTCTCTGTCCTAGATTTCCACTAGCACCGGCGTACTGCTTTGGGGTTTTTAGGTCAGGCAGATGCACTATTGCTTGCTCCTCCACAGAAGCTGATACCTTGCAGGTCTACCTGGTATAACTTGCATTTGGGTTTTCTTAGCACCATGTTAGCTAGTTTTTTGTAGATGTGATCATTGGCTTTTGGATTTGCTGTCTTAGTTTCTGTATTTATGGGAATATTTGGAGCATTTCAAAGAAGTGCCACCACTGTCGTTGTCTTCCAAGAATCGCAACATAATTTTTAATGGCTGCAGTTTTACATTATATGAATATGACACAATTTATTTAATCATTCCTCTATTGGATTAGTTGATTTCCATTGTTACCATATAAACTGGCTGAGATGAGTATTTTTCTGGTGTAATCTTTGTATATACTCGTGATTATTCCTTAATAGTAATTTTTAGGCTGTACACCATGTAAGGAGATCTTATTCAACCATGATGATGTGACCACTCTGATCTTGGGTTGGTAATCCCTGTACCAGCTAAGTCCTGCGGTGGGCCTGAACAGATGCAGCCACCCCACCTCATTGGATCTGCACCACACAATTCACGTGGAATGGCTGGAAACCCAAAGATCCCTTCTTGTGTGAGATCATCCTGAGCTGCACATCTCTGTCCGCAGGGAGCCTCAAGGTCAAGCCATGAGGCCCTGCAGCCTGTTTCTTGTGGATAGGAGTCAATGGCGGCCTCAGTAGTAGTGTCCCAGTGCTCAGTGGCTGGGGCACCCAGCATCCCCATTTGAGTGGTGGCTGTTCTCTCCCCTGTGAAACCTGTGCCTCTCCTAAAAGTAGGCAGTGCATGAGGTCCAGGTGGAGCTCAAGTAGGTGTGGTGTGTGTGGGGTAGGGGTGCTCAAGCTACTGGCACACTGAAAGGTCAGGTAACCCCATCATCTAAAAGAGTGCTGGTCTTATCTTCAGTAAATGAAAGATCAGTCAGTATTTTTTTTTTAATGTATTTTATTGATTTTTTTACAGAGAGGAAGGGAGAGAGATAGAGAGTTAGAAACATGGATGAGAGAGAAACATCGATCAGCTGCCTCCTGCACACCTCCCACTGGGGATGTGCCCGCAACCCAGGTACATGCCTTTGCCCGGAATTGAACCTGGGCCCCTTCAGTCCGCAGGCCGACGCTCTATCCACTGAGCCAAACCGGTTTCAGCAGTATTTTTTTTTTTTTAAAGATTAATGTTTAGAAGGGGTTTTGTGAATAAAATAATATTATACCCTTGATGGCTTTTGATGCCAGTTGCCAAATTGCTTTCCAAAAATGGTTATACCAATTTGCAGTCCTCCAGTAATGTAGTTCGTTTTTAATCATTCTTTTAATTATACTGATATCAGTAAATTAGTAGACAAGTGTTTATTAAGCATGGTGGCTTTAAACAAAAAGAATAGTTATCTCAGCTGTTCAGAACTTGGCCATCTAACAACTACACTGATGTATTGCCTAATCAAGACCAAGGAAATTACTAAAACAAGCTTTTGAGCTGCCAAGAATAGCTGTCACAAAAGCTATAGATTAATGCAAACACCATAATTATAGGAGACTGATTCTCGGAAATGGTTTCCACTTATTTTACTTTGATTTCCACATCAGATTGAAAGAGGATGCAGTATCTTTTATAGTTTTGTATAGTAACAGCAATGAGATGGCAGTGGCAAAGAAAAGGGAGAAATTAAAGCTGCCTTGATTTCTAGGCATGGCTTGTCTTACCTAAAAGTAATCAACTACAAGTCAAATTTAAGCAACATAGATATTTTCTCAGTCTTGTAATTGATGGTAATTCCTATTACTGCTCAAGTCAGAGACTCAGGCACATTCTAACTAAACCAACTGGCCAGTTTATGTGCAGTTTATGCTTTGCTGTAATTTTTTTTTATAAAGTCTGAGTTTATCTAGAAATCAACATGAAATAACTATTGGGTATTTTATTATACCATATTTATTATATATTTTTATTTAAGATTTTATTATACAAATAGTGCCCAGTTGTTAGAAAAATTAGAACTTACAACTAAGTCAAAAGGTAGAGAATAAAAATTCGTAATAATTCTACCATCTAGAGATAAGTGCTGTCATGCTTAATATTTTTCTGTATGTATGTTTTGATCAAAACAGGACCATTGTTGTATCTACTATTTTATTATCTACTTTAAAAACATAATGTGTGATAAATGTCTTTTCAGATTTATAAACATACTTTTTTAAAATTTTTATTTTTATTATTGATACTATTACAGATGTCCCCATTTTCCCTGCCTTTGCCCAACTCCACCCAGTCCCCACATCCCCCTTCTCTCTGGCCATCACCACATCGTTATCTGTACCTGTGGGTTATGCATACATGTTCTTTGGCTAATCCCTTCGCTAACCCTCATTGTAATGCCTTCTGCTCTCTGTGTTCCTAGTAATGTCAGGTAAGCTAGAAACCTTGAGGTTACCTTTGATGAGTTCATCTCCCTCATCCATTACATGCAGTTGGGTATCAGGTCCTCCCACTACTAACCCATTGCGTATTATATGAATCCATCTGTGTCCCTCTCTAGTCCCACTGTGTTTGTCCTATCTCAGACCTCTTCATTTTTAACCTAGACTGTTGCAGCTATTTCCTACATAATTGGCAATCATCCATACCTCTGATTTTTCTGAACTCTATTTTATTGCTGTTGCTTATTATCATAATATTTAGATGCCTCTTCTATCCTTTCCTTTTCACCCCATTACCTACCTTTTTCTTTGTATTCTTTCTTTGTTTCCTCTTTTCCTCCTTTTATTTTTTTTCTGACCCCTGAAATATTTGTACTTCTTTATGTTGCTCACTAGAGGCCCAATGCACAAAGTTTGTGCACTCGGGTGGGTCCCACAGTCCGGCCTGCGCCCTCTCACAGTCCAGGAGCCCTCAGGGGTTGTCCAACTGCCAGCTTAAGCTGGCAGTCAGACATCCTTAATGCTGACACAGAGGTGGGAGAGGCTCCTGCCACCACAGCTGCGCTCACCAGCCATGGCCTGGCTTCTGGCTAAGCAGTGCACCCCTGTGTGAGTGCACTGACCACCAGGAGGCAGCTCCTGCGTCGAGCGTCTGCCCCCTGGTGGTCAGTGCACATCATAGCGACCGGTTGTTCCACCAATCGGTCAATTTGCATATTAGCCTTTTATTATATAGGATTCTTGCCCAAACATGCCATGAATTTTAATTGCTATTTCTTAACCCATCTTTTGAAATTTAACCATCAACCCTAGATCATCAAATGTCCTTTTTTTCTTAATGTCTTCCTCAATTTGAATTAGTATCTCCCTTTTCTGCCTTTCTATTGCATTTTATATACTTCATTTATATTCTGCCTCATGTTATAATATGCCTATCTTCATCCTACATGGATTTCTCTTTTATATATATTAAAAGATCACATTTTATTTAAAGAGTCATGAATTATTTCATTGTTAATCATTACTAGGTAGTCTTTAAGGAATATCAAGACATTAAGTTTTCTCTTGAATTAAAGAGAATACCAAGTACTGTTACAGCGAATCATAAGTAAAATGCTCGTTTCCAAGGGAATTTTCCGTAGTGTCTCTAATTCTAAGCAGTCTCTTTCTTTTGCCCTTTATAGGCTGGATCAGTGCATGTAAGAATTCGCCGAGATGCAAATGAACAAATGGTTCTTGCTCATGTGACCAACAGGCTGTACACTCTAGTGTCTACACTGACTGTTCAAATATTCAAGGATGACTGGATAAGGCCCTCTTTACCATCAGGGCCTGTTGCAGCTAATGTCCTAAATTTTTCAGATCATCACATAATACCAATGCCTCCTTTAAAGGGTATTGATGAGTCGAACCCTGTCACATCAACTCCAACTAAACCTAGTAGTCCACCTCCAGAATTTTCATTTAACACCCCTGGAAAAAATGTGAACCCAGTTATTCTTCTAAACACACAAACAAGACCTTATGGTTTGGGACTTAATCATGGACACATACCTTATAACAGCATTGTTAATCAAGGACTTGGAGTTCCAGGAATTGGAGCAACCCAAGGATTCAGGACTGGTTTTACAAATATACCAAGTAGATATGGAACTAACAATAGAATTGGACAACCAAGACCATGACATACTGTGATTTAATTTATTTTATGAGGAATATTGACTCCTTGACTTCCTTCCAATTTACTTAGTAATCCAACTTTGCATTGACTGTTCAATCATTTGTTGTAAATATTAGAGAATAGTAGGCTAGTTCATATTATATGAAACCAATGAAACTATATTTTTGTAAGATATAGTTAGAACAGTGAGAAACTTCTAAATGTTGTAGGCTTTAAATAGGCTTCCTTTAGAAAATGTATTTCTCTAAATTTGAATTTTGCTATCTTTGGTTTTGAAGTTGACTGCAGTGTGATATGAGATTACCTTTACAAGAGAACCATTTGATGGAGTAGATCTGTCACATTATATTCTCTTCAGTGAAATTTATAAAACTGCTTCTTGAATAATGATACACATTTTAGGAAAGGATAAAAATATCCATTCTAAAAGTAAAAAAGTCTCTTTTATGGCTTTTCCAAACTTAATTGCTACATTTTTCTTTGAGGTCCTCTGAATTATGTCTTGCAAAGTAAAAGCAAAAATTTTTATCAGAAATTTTAGAATATATTCTACCTAGTTTTTGTTTCTTTAATATATTTTTATTGATTTCTAGAGGAAGGGAGAGGGAGAGAGAGTTAGAAACATCAGTGATGAGAGAGAATCATCGGTTGACCACCTCCTGCACTGGGGATCGAGCACACAATCTGGGCATGTGCCACTGACTAGAATCGAACTTGGGACCCTGCAGTCTGCAGGTTGACACTCTATCCACTGAGCCAAACTGGCTAGGGCATACTACCTAGTTTTGTCATTTAAAAATTTCAATACATTTGTAAATAGTCCATGGTTCTCAAAGTGTTTTATTCTGGTTAATAAGTACCAAATCCTTTAGTGATGTGCAATAAAGGAATCACAGTTTTCTCTCTTACACATAATCAGATTCTGATGTAATGATGGAATTTATCTTTTTTTGTAACTTTTTCATTGGTTGACTTAATTTCTCATTTTTAAGCAAAACATATCAAATATGTTACCAAAATATATGGGATTCCACAAATGTTATAATATGGGATTTGATATCTTTTCAAAGTTGCACAATCATTTCGAGATTATATTATAAATTTTTACCAAAAGATAATGGATCCTAAATTATAGAGTATACAGTATTTTCAGACTTGCTACAGGCAGTTTTTAACTTGTTTTGCTTTGTTAAACAATGAATTGTTAACGTGATGAAGTGTGAGAATTATATAGATTATTTTATTTTTTGATTACTTTCCAAGTGCACATGTTAAGAACTTTGTAATGTAGCCAATATTCCATATAAAAAATATAACAAGCGGCAATTACCGATGAGGTTATATCATGAGTTTTGTGGTTAGGGTTTTAAAAAGGGATTTTAAGAGTGGATTCAACTTTTCTGGAATCCAGTGACTCCTGGAGATTTGTGACTTTTCCAGCCATTACCCAGATATCTAGAGAAGATTTTATGTTCCTGTAGAATTTGCAACAGTTTCTTCAATGAACTCATCCTCTTTTAAATATGAGCAACACTTCCAAATCCTATTTCTTCACTGTGGAATAACAAACATCTAAGAAGCCATCTCTATCACAAGTAGTTAATTCTGTAATAATAAATGACCATGTCCTAAATACCTTTTGCTTGCTGAGGAGTTGGTCATTGTCTTGGCATCTGCGACCCTGTTCAGGCATTTTACCTACTGAAGAACTAGAGTCCACACTACTTTGACTGTTGGTGAAAAGGAATAAGGCAACCTGTTTCTTGTCCTTTGACTTATGTTCTCCAACTATTACTATTGCCTGTTATTGGTCTACCATTACAGAGTGGTTTTTCCTCCATTGACATCTAAATGTGAATTCGGGTCTTGCATGAAATCTGAAGGACTGTCATGTGCTGAGGGAGGATGATTCAGAGGTATGTGCTGCCACCGTATGCACATCTTCTCCATCCCTATGGGATTTTCAAAGTGTCCAGGTGCTGAACACACCTCTGTGTGAGGTTAAATGCCTACTTCCTCAACACCCACTCAGAAGCAACATCTGTGCAGTTGTCCTACCAAAGGAGCTTTCATGCCAACCTACACTATTTGAGAAGTTGTCTGTGGGTTCTGAAGGAATTGGCTCTACTTGCTGAACTTCATTACTACCAACTGCTATAGGTGACTTTGGTCCTTGCATTATAATATAACGTCTCATTTGCCAAGCTCTGGCCAGCTTCCGGATATGAAAACAAGAAAGTTGGCCAGCATAGGCCTTTAGACAGTACTCTTACTGGTAAATCTTGTCATGGAGTTACTTGAAGCTAGACAAAAAAAAACGGAAGTTCAAATTACATACTTGCCCCATAGTTTGTGATTTAAGAGCAAGCTTCATGGAATATGATGAACCCTGTTTGAGAAATCACTGTTTGTAATGGAAAAAACATTGGACTAGAAGACAAGAATTGGATTCCAAAAGTGATACTGCTGCTATGTAAGTAGTTTTATAACCATGGGCAAGTCATTTAACTTTCCCAAGCTTTCTCATCTGTAAAGCTAGGGTAGGGAATGAATTAGTTGATCTGTAAACTATCAACTCTAAAATTTTATGACTAAATCTATAGAATATGTGCCCAGTTGCTAAACAATATTGTACCCAGAATTTCTATCCAGTGACTACCTCAACATATAGGCCAAGTGTTACCTATACCAACACCCAAGCCATTAATTTGAGGTGCCATGAGAATAGAAGGTGAACTGCAGGCTAACACCATTTAGGAATTAGTTTATTTCAGACTTGCCTCGAATAAATCCTTTAAATCTGTTTAAACAGATTTTTCTTAGTCTTCTTTCTTTGTGGGAAAGGATTATTTTTTTTATTATACCTTGTAATATGCATTAAAAAACAACAACACATAAAACCCATGATTTCACGATATCACTAAAGATGAAATTTGAAGTACATGATGTTAAACCTAAGACAAATTGAAAAAAATATTGAGTAAGTGGTACAGGAGGGCAATTTGGAGGTATATAAAAAAACAAAACTATAAATAGCCTATGACTTTTTTTTTCTTTTTTATTTTTTTGTCTTTTTTTGCTTTATTGATTAAGGTATTACATATGTGTCCTTATCCCCCCCATTGCCTCCTCACCCCCCCACTCATGTCCTCACCCCCCTGGTGTCTGTGTCCATTGGTTAGGCTTATATGCATGCATACAAGTCCTTTGGTTGA